ATATATATATATATATATATTGCTTACATTACGCAATAAAAAGTATAACTGTATATTATAATATAATTTCGAATGAGTAGATCTAATTCTCTTTATTGAATGAAGGATTGAGATTTTTTGCGGTGGAATAGCAATATGCTTTTCAATGACAGCGCCCTTTTTAAAGGTTTAGGATCTGCATTGAAATGAGTGCAATATATAGATTATTAATATTTCATTTTTCAAAGCAGATCTAAAGATTCTTAGATTCATCCTAACCACCTTTTGATCAGCAATTCTCTATGCTCTAGAAAGTATTTTTTTTAATGAGTATTCATCTTTTATATTTAGTCATTGTCGAGCCTATCTGCAAATAAATACGGTTGGTTTCATGACCTTGATTCCTGTGATTCTATAGCCATTTAATGTGCTTGTTTTTTGTTTTCCCGAGTAGGTCGTTGAAGTTTCAACCTCCAAAACTGGGAAGCACGGTCATGCGAAATGCCACTTTGTTGCCATTGATATCTTCAACCAGAAAAAGCTTGAGGATATCGTGCCGTCTTCTCACAACTGTGATGTAGGTTCATTTGTCGTTGCTCTTTCTTTCAAATGCCAACATAGTAAGGGGCCATTTGGGATCATTTTTTATTTTGGCTATGTTTATACTTGAAATAAATTATTTTTGCTATGTTTTAATATGTGTTGTTGTCTTAAAAACACAATATCTTTTAGATATTTTTAATCTTTTTAAAAATAAGTTGATTTGTTTTTGAATATAAAAAATAAAAAACATACAAAAAATGCACTAAGCAAATATACTTTTAAAAAATAAAAAATAAAAGTGCTCCCAAACATGCCCTAAATGTTTGGTTTTTTAGGTATGGTTTTCCTAGTTTTAAATTACCTCTCATTCTTTTTAGGTGCCCCATGTTAACCGCACTGACTACCAGCTTATTGATATAGCTGAGGATGGATTTGTAAGCTTTTTAATTCTTTCGTAGGGCACTGTTATTACATTTCCTATATATGTTTGCATGACAGTTTATGTTATATATTACAGTTGAGCCTTCTTACTGAGAACGGAAACACTAAGGATGATCTTAAGCTCCCAACTGATGACAATTTGCTTACTCAGGTGCTGTACGCAACTTAATGTGATAACGTTGTTCATTACAATATTTTTTTAACTTTATTGTATTCTCTTGTCATTTGCCTGTGAAGAAATCTTTGGTCGAGCTCATCCTCGCCTTCTACAACGTTTTTCTTAGAAAAATGAACACTTGGCGGTATTTTTATTGGCCCTCTTTTGGTCATCGCTCAAGAATTCGATAGGATGGCTAGCTTCTTTTCAATAAGATTCTTAAGTAGTTTTATGAAACATTTGGGAACCACCTTTTGGAGGGTGGACAAATACCAACCATATGAACGGAAACTGAGGGGAAACTGAGAAATAGATTTCTACTTTATAATTTTGGGTAAAAAAATTTATTTAGGCAAAATTACAAGAAGAGAAAATTTTGTAATATTAAAATAAAAATTATAGTACTAAATAAAAATTAATTTTTTTATTAGAATATTGCCCATTCTAAAATGTACCTTATTCCGCCCTTGAGTGTTTTAGTGATACCAGTGCTAGTCAGGATGCGACGAAATATAAACAAAGTAAACTTTTATTAATATAAAAATAGTGATACAACACGACTCAAACAAAAGAGAAATACAATAATAGTCGAATCCCTAGCTAGAGCTATAGGAATAGATCTGGAGGCAGTAGTTGTGTCGGCGGGGTGACCGGTCGTTGGGTAGGTGTGGGATTATGTGTGGGTTGGTTGTAGGTGGATTGGAAGGCGAGATCATGGAGGAAGTAGTGGTGGCGGTAGGGTGGTGGAAGAGTGTGGGGGTGGCAGGTGGCTGTATAGTATAGTGGTAGGGAAAAGGGATTGGTGAGAAGTAGAAAAGGAGTTTGAAGTTTACAACACCACCTCAAGGCAGGATACAGTTGAAGCACCTCCTTCGTCGGTTACAACCCTAACAAGAGGGAAGAGACTCCACAAAGGAGATTAGAAGACAACTCTGATAGAATTGCCTCCCATACACTCAAGAGACGGCTATTTATAGCCTCCTACTATTAAACAAGAGGAAAGGAGTGGAAAAGACAAGAAGAATGTAGACATCCAGAAAGATCCAGTGCGAAAAGCTCAGCGTGATCATGAGAATTTGCAATCCCTCTTTCTGTCGTGCATTCTCACGCCTTAGCGAGTTTGCGGGAAACCGCTCTGCTTTGTGCGAAAATCGAGGCGCCCCACTCTTGGTGCTGTTCTGCGCTCAGATTTAGGCGCCGTTCCAAGCGCCTGAGTCTGTAAGAGTCCTTTTATTATTATTATTTTTATTTTTAGAACACCATGCTTGAAATTACTTGCATAGCAATCTTTTGGTGCTCCGTAATTCATTAGTTTGACTACCTTCTTTCATTTGCTCAAATATTTTTGATTGCATGCATGTTACTTTTTGTATATCAAGTAAACTCCTCTGTGTATTCAAGAAAATATTTTTCATAGAAAGTCAAACATATTTTGATTGTTAGCAGTTATAATTTTTGCTTATTGTACTTTATAGATGAAACCATTACAAGTAAAAAACTGATGAAACCATTACAAGTAAAAAACCATTATAATTTATAGATGAACGTTCTCATCTGTTTTTATTTTGTATTTAGTAATGGATTCTAGATTGGATCATCATTCTTGACAATTTTTTTATTTTTCTACAGCTAATTCTGGGTGCTTAAAAAGTTAATTTCCTGTATTTATTCTATTTATCATAGTTATGTGAACCAAGTGTGATCTTTAAGAAATCTTTTTTGTTTCGGCAGCATCTTTTGGGAATCTTGAAAAGTTGATTTGTGTGTAATTATCATATTCTTATTTTTATTATTACTTTTCTAAAACATATTCTTATTTATTTGCATGTAAACAATGTTAGATACTGCAAATTTCTTGTTAGATTCTAAATGTACGTCATGCAATGTGATTTGTGTTTCATCATACGTTGGAACTCTGAATGTTATAATCGATGAGATACTGTATTAACAATAGGGATGTAACGAGTCGAACTGAATTTGACTCGTGCCTGACTCAAGCACAGCTCATCTAGCAAGCTCGAGCTCAAGCTGAAAATTAAATTATTATGGGAGCTCACTGTAGAAGGAATTGATGATTGGAGAAGTAGGAGTGTCACGACAACTTGCTGGAGATGGCATTGTTGTGACCATTGATCGGCCAGTCGAGCCGGCTCCCCCAAAAAGCCGTGCCTAGACAAGCTTTAACTTGAGCTTGTTTAATAAACAAACTTGAGTTTGAACTCGAGCTCAAGCTCGTGGCTCGATAAACTCGACTTGCGAGCTCGTTAGCAAGTCGAGCTCAAACCAGCTCTGCTCACTCACACCTCTAATTAGCAGATAGCAAAGTTCTAGAGAAGAGCAATGTAAAAGCTGAAGTGGCTACTTTATGATTATTGTTTCATCAAAATTTTATATTTACCAGTGACAATAGAGAACTATGAAGAGCAGATATCATTTTTACATTAATCAACATCCTAATAAGTTCAGAGTTTGTTTGGCTTTACTAGTGGTTACCATTAAAAGCTCCAATTGCATTTTTTTTTTTATTTGCATGATTTTCCTCTGTTTATATTAATTATCTTCCCTACTGCTATTCTATAAATTTATATGATGTATGTGTATGCCGCATATTTCATGATTTTTTTGCAACAACTCTCCTGAGATATTTTCTACTTCTAATGCCTTACTTTAAAGGGGCATTTACATACATAGCACCCAATTCCTATGTGTTTACCTAAATTTACTTTTTTTTTAATCTTTATACCACCCAAATCTTTTATATCACATCAATGTCACCATTTTAACTTTGAAAACAATACATATTTTCATGCTTAGGTAAAGTTCCATGCACTAAAAATTTACAGTTAAGGTCCTAGATATGTAAATACATAGGGAATTGAGCGGTATATATGTAAATCTTCCTTTTAATTTTATGTTTGATCTCATAAGTCTTATAATTTCCTCATGTATTGATTGAATATCTGAAGTGTCTTACCATGATTTATCTTATAACCATATAGATCAAAGATGGATTTGCAGAGGGTAAAGATCTTGTGGTAACTGTCATGTCTGCTATGGGGGAAGAACAAATCTGTGCGCTGAAGGACATTGGCCCCAAATAATTGCATTTTTTTGCATATTTTGGCTGCAACAGAAAAAAAATTATGATTTATGATGGCATGATAGTATTATTTGCTCCATCATTGATGGCTATATATATCTGAACTTCTCTTCCAGTTTGACCAGCCTTATTATCTCTTGAATCCATGTTGGTGCTGTTAGTGAATTATGTCTCAAATTCAAATTTTTTTTTTCTGTATCAGAATTTTTATGTTGCATGCAATGGCTATTTGTATACATAAAGAGCTTGTTGTTGTAATGATTTTTTTTAATAATTAGTACTCTATATGGAAGTTATTGCTTATTGTAGCTTTGGTCTTCTCTCTGTGTATGTGGGTGCCAAAGGTGCTTTTTTTTTTTTTATATATTTCCTTTCATGAATGGGGGTTTAGATGGATGAGCCAAGCTGACTCATTAGTTGGCTTGAACTTGGTTCGATAAATGACTCATTAGTTAAGCTCGGTCTAAGTTTAAGCCAACTCTTTCAACCAAGTTGGCTTGTCAAAAAAATATTAATATAAAATGTATTTCTCATGTATTAAAAAATTAGTTGTATAAACTATACATTATTAAATAAAATAAAACTAAATATTTTTTTCCTTTTGATTGTTGATTTTATTTGTTATGTTATTTGTTATAATAGTTGATTGAGGCCCCATTTATGGCAGCTTACAAGTGTTGGTGGCGTTTTGAAAATGCTGCCCTAGCTTTTGGATATCGCATTTTTTGGGGTTATCTAGATATGAGCGGGTGAGTCGTCCCTTTTTTTCAAAGGAACGCGGCCACGGGATCGATCCCGCGGCCTGCGTTCTTTTACGGATTATTATCCAGCTACATTTTCACTCAACCGCAAAGAACAATTGATAGAAAGAGAAAAAAGGTTGGGTGCGAGTGTCGCGAGGAAGGAGAAGACCGTCCAAACAACATTATTGCACAATAAAAGAGGAGAAAAAAAGGAAAGATGATTTCCAATGCTACCTTGCTTCTCTATTAGGAAATGTATTGTCTAGATAGTTCTGTCGCAAATAATATTATTACACAAGGTTAGAATGGCTATTTATCCACAATCAACTTTAAATTAACTGTTTTTTAACAACACAAACCAAACAATCAATCAGATTATCCAGATCAGATGCTGATCAACAGCTTATTTAGACTTACTACTTATTAGATGATTGTCAATAAGCTGCAGCTGCCCCAAACAGACCCTTAATTAAAGTCTTTTTCCTCTCTTGAATATTTAATTAGAGTGCTTGGGAGCTAACTAAAATTTATAGAATTAAACTGAGCTCGAATTTTAATTTGATTAATTTAATGCGTCTCTCTCTGCGTTATATTTTTGGCGTTGGGGTTGAAGGGTGGGCAAATATAAAATAATTCAACTGGAAATTTTGTGTTCATTAGAATTTTCCTTTAGGGGGCATATTCATGCATACCACACAATTCTCATGTATTTACATGTCTAACATCTAATTTTTATTTTCTTATATTTATATGACTTTCCATACATATCACACAATTCTTATGTATTTACATGTCTAACATCTAATTTTTAATTTTTTATATTTATATGGCTCAAACCTTTTGTCCCACATCAAAAATAATTTTTATTTTAAAAGTGAAATATTTTATATGGCTTAAAGGTGGTCTACATATAAAAATTGAAGTTTAGGTGTCAGATGTGTAAATACATAAGAATTGAATGGTCTATACGTAAATCTTCCTTTTTAAAAAATTGAAGTTTTTCTTTCTCTTAAGAATGATAGAGTATTAATTAGACGAATAATATAATTTAAATCATAACAAATTTTATGTCATTTTCTATGACAAGATTAGCATTTGGCTTATACTATAAAATTAGATATATTTTTTAGCACCTTTGCAACAGTGGCCAAGAAAATATAGATGAAAATCCTAATTATGTTGTTGAACAATGAGATCAAATCTATGTAGAAATTTAAAATTTACGCTCCTTGAGTGATTGATTAGCATCTTAGTGTTGTATGAAAATTCAGCATGCTTAGATGAAATAAAACAAGTAGTAGAAACATCAGAAGTTTTTATATGGAAAACTCGTAAAGGGAAAAACACGAGGTCTGACTCAGATAAATAGATCCACCTAAAATTAAAGATTATAAGTACGGTCTCTTGTCCAACAAGAGAGAAAGAGTTACAATTTTCCGAGCTACAAAGTCAGTACGCGAATGAACTCGTCGTAAGAAGTTAGTGGCGATCGATGCGGATTGATGACGACCAACAAATGATGGTCGGTGGCGGTCAGCCAATCAGCAACTGGTGGTCGGCGCAATCGACAGTGAAGTGATGCTGGATTTCAACTGCTTCTCCAAGCTTCAAGCTCTTATTCAGACTTCAAGCTCCTCTTTCTCATGAAAGGGTTGGAGAATGAAGGAATACCACCCATTTTGATTGGATTGCACGAAGAGTTTCATTAATCAAACAAGATTTGATGAACATTTGAGCGCCCTAATGATGTCAGAATTTAAAGATTTTTGACTCATTAGATTCGTCTCACTGAGACGCTCGATTCGGATATAAAATTCCAACCATTTATTTCATTTTTCAACTAAACAAAAATCCGGATGTAAAATGAAAATTTGCAAGCCAATTGAAGAAGAAAATATGCCTAAAGATGTGTATCTAAATGCTTAATTTCATATAGTGATATTGAATGAATTTTATCAAACTATTACATAGAATTAATAGTTGCTTGAGATTTGAGAAGTACGGGGGTAACTGAATAGCCCTCATCTCATTGGGTGAATTTGAATTGTGATTTTCAACCTATTTTACAATGGAGTCCATTATAGCCAACTTGTTTATATTTATGTGAGGTCCCTAAGAGCTATACATGTAAAAATAGAAGTTTATTTGCTAGATTTGTAAATACATAGAAATTGAGTCGTATCTATGTTACTTTATAATTACTTATAGAACATAAATATTTATGTATTTATGTGTGTCATGATCTACATAAAAATAAAAAATATAAATTGAGATTTTATCATGATTTTTAATATTTGAGTGAGAAATTGAAAATTAGAAAAAATTGGACGGTTGATTTGTAAATATTTTTAAGTGAATACAATGTGGCTTGGAATAGGAAAAATTATTCCACGCAGAAATATATATTAAATATTATTGTACACCGTTTATCACAGCAGAGATGTATACGAGTAGGCGTTATTTTTTATTTTTTATTTTAAAATAAAAAAAAAATCTTGGAATAGATATGGAATAGATAAGGCTCACGTTCGCCACCGCTGCGTCGTCACCTTTGTTCCAGCTTGCTCCAATGGCCGGAACCCTAATTCCCAGCAGCGCTCTATTTCACCCTTCGTGTATTATGAAATTTAGGGCACGAAGCGAGACGGATCTCTTTCGGCCTTCGAGAGAACCCTTCATAATCGCCCGGCTCGAGAATTTCGGCTTCCGATTTCTATCTATCCGTTCAGGAAGGCGTTGCTTTCCCTCAGCGATGGCGGCGGAGGCGACGGCCGCTGTTTCGGTAGAAGACGACGAGTCGATGAGCATCGATGCACTGCGGCGCTTCTTTGATCTTAGCATCGGCAAGTGGAACGGGTCGTTCTACGTCTGTACCGAGTTTTTTTGCTTCTTTTTCTCTTATGCTGAAGAAGAATAAACGAGGAATGGATGATTTTTCTTAATGTTTATATTACAAATGTCAGTTGTGGTATGCAGCAATTTGATGGCAATGGGGAGATGCTGCAACGTGTGAGCACGAAGCTCTCTGTAAGCACGTATGGGGAGGATGAGCTCATTAGTCTTATTCAAACGTGAGCCTTGTTTCAGCATTTTTTCTTTTTTTTCTTTTACTTGCATTCAGAGTTCCATGCGGCATCTTATTATTTTGTTGAAGCTGGGTCAATGAGATGCAGTTTTGGTTGGTTTCATTGTGCAATTGTCAACCAATATTTTTAGTTAAGTAGTGATATTTATGTGTAATATATTTAATTTTTTCTGGATTCATTATAAACAGAAGAAATTAATGGAGATTAATGATATAACTTATACAATTATGATTGAATTGTTAGAATGGTGATATTCATTTGGAGTTTTATGTGATTAAGAGGTGTTAATGCCGGCTTAATTTGTGATTTTACAATATTTCATTTGGTTGTCTATGTTGTATATATCTTAGAGTTGAGTAGTTAAAAAATATTGATATTTAAGTTTGGTAAGATGGATGTGGCAAAATTTGAATGATATGTTGGGTAATGGTTATATTAGAGCGACGATTAGAGTAGTTTATATTGAAGATAAAGCAATTGAAAATAAAAATCGACAGTTTGTATGTATACAACGAATGGAAAAATACGCTATTAGATTAATAAGTAAGCTTAGCAAGGAAGACTTTGGAAGCAATAAGAGGTCAGCGTAAAGATAAAATGAATGATGTTGTTCAGAATTAACAATGATTTAACATTTCATGTATTTCTTAATTGGAGCAAAAGAAATATGAGGATTTATAAAGCCGACCTTAAATAGTTGGGCATATTTTATGCATTAAGCTCACTTCTTTTGCATGAGTTGAGATAAAAGAACTGATCTTTACTTTGAATAGGCTCCTGAATTAATTGTTTCTTCTGTAATTTCCTTTCTTATTTAGTTATAAATCTTTTCTTTGTGATAACATTTTTCTTAACCATTTTTTTTATAGCTTTATGTTTATTATCTAATGCTGAATTACTACTGCTTTTGATTGTTTCATGTTTTCAAGAATGTTCCTAGCTCATTAAATCTGCCAATTACAGATTGCAAATTGTAAATTTTTACGTTTGTTTGTATTCTCTTGCTCAAATTGAGTCTCTTTTTATGGAACATGTAGACTATACATAAAGCAGTCTCCATCAAGCACGACAGTTTCTGGTTATGATTCTGAATCTGAATGGTTGGAATACAAAATTAAAGAGACAAATATGTTTACTGTTGATAAATATCAGCAGGTAACATTTCATATTTATCTATGTCAAATTTGTCATTGATAACTTCATTCAGTTTGCATTTAGGATTCTTGTTTTGATTATTTTGATTAGTTCCCATAATTAATCTGCAGATTGGGTTTTTTCCGACAGAAAAAGCATTCTCTCTTAGATATCAAACTGCTGGAATGCTGGAAACTGTATTGCGTGCCGGTGTGCTCGGTGAGGACGACATTGGAGAGGAATCTCCCAGGTAAATTCCTTGAAAGCCATTTTCCATAGACACATCCAAATCCAGAGAATTTGTCCATTTGTTCTGTTTATTTTGCTTAATTAATTAGTTAATGTAAATAAGACTTTTATGAAGCATATGATTTATTTACAAAAGTGGATATTTTACAAAATTGGCTTCCACCGTTACTTATATATGTAGAATAAAATAATTCATATTTTATATGTCAATTGTTCAAAATTGGATATCAAAACCCTTTATAATTATCACTGATTCTTCATCTTCACCATTTTGATACTGCTTTTAAAAGTTTTCTCAAATCTTTTTTCTAAACAGAAACTTGAAGGTTCCTTCTCGTTACCCTTCTGTTGTTTGCGAGAATTGTCTTTACTCTCTGAAAGATGACATGCGAGTAAGAGCCTTCCATATTATGGACCCTAAGGGTGTTCTCGATATGCTTCTTATTTTTCGTGAACAACGAGGTGATGCACCATCGTGTATCTCTTCTTGTAGCTTGCATGTAAGTACTTATCTAATTGGGAGACATTCTTCTTAACTAACCTTAATGGATTTTGATCACAAAAGGTCATAGTCCTTAATGAGTCACATTAAGGGTCTGTTTGGGACGACTACAACTTTTTATGGAACGGAAAACAACTTCTTAGAAAGCCACAGTATTAACTATAAATACTTATTAAAAAAAAAAGAGACAAAAGCTTTCTTATAGTTACCACACTTTAATAGTCATTGTTGTAAAAAGTAGCTTCTCACCACAAAAAATTTTAGAAAATAGCAAGAAGTAATTATTCAAACAGAACTATGTTGGCGGTCTAAAATGCAAAGCGGGTAGAAAACTGTTTCGAACAGCCCCTAGAACCTGCCTAAAATCAATAAAACATAGGTCCCTTTTCATTTAAATTTTATATTCTCATGCATTGTTCTACTGATTTGGCAGGATGTCCCAGACAGGATTACTCCAATCCTTGGGCAATGGAAAGGTCATTCCATCACCAAGCGTAGCGGTGTCTATGGCGCGACGATTGCCGAAGCTGAAACTGTTGCTTTTCTTGAATTGGATGACAATGGCCAATTAGTTCAGGTATAGAATATCCTGACTGGTTTTTAGTTTTTCACACCCTTTTCTTCGAGGCTTTTAGGTTTTATCAGCATTCATTGTCTTTATTTTCTCTATCTAAAATATTGCATATCTGCAAAGCTTTTGAATTTATTGCAATTGTTGAATATACTTGTTCATGGGTGATCAAACTTTTGTCATGGTATTGTAGTTTTTTCCATTTCTTGAGTTGTGGCTCTTCTATTGTTAGCTTTCTTAGTTTTTTTCTGAGTAAATCGAAAGCCACGCCCAACTTTTCATTTATAGCAAAAACAATTACAAACACTGAGTTTTTGTCAAAAAGATTTTAAAAGTTGTTATCAAAATTGTGTTTTGGCGCTTTATTTTTTCAGAAAGATTTATTCCAACAATTGGATTGAATCCTACATGCAGGATATAACCTCAACTTCCACAAGCGGATCAACGGCCAATATTCACTGGTCTGGAACTATTTCAGGCAACATGATAAAATTTGATGGAGGCTTTCAGCTGACCCTTCTTCCTGGAGGAATGTACATGGGATTCCCCTGTGATATTGCCAAGAGTGTTTCTCAATCACAATCCTTCCATCTCGAGTTCTGCTGGATCGAGTCGCCCGACAAGAGGCAGAGGCTCGTTCGCACATACGACATGGATGGTTTAGCTGTGTCGTCGACATACTTTCTCGAGACGAGAGTGTAGCAGTTATCTCCATTCCTGCATGTTGAGCATGTCAATGCTTTTCAGTAAGATGTTATGTGTTATATTTTCTGTTTTCTGCTTTCCCATTGTGTTTATTTACATCTTGTGGATGAATTTGTTAACAGAGTCTCTTTTATGGTTCCATTTAACCATAGGATAAAGTACATGTATAAAAATATTGTACGAGCGGGTATTCGATCGGTTTGAATGAATTGATTCTCTTATATTGTTCAAATTAATCGTGGCAAAAAGCTAAAGTTCGAAAAAATCGAACCAATTAAAATTTTGATGAAATTTAACGAAATTTAATTCGGTTTAGAAGGATTGATTTTGAAATTTAGTAATTAGTTGCAGATCGGTTCGACTGCGAGCAAACATTAAGAATTTAATATTTAATATTTTAAATTAAGGCGCTTTATTGTAAATCAAAATTTTGAGACGTGTTATTTTGTTTATTTTTTTAGCCATTGATCAAAATAAAAAATTAAAAATTAGTTCATCGAAAATTCGACCGCATCAAAGGCATATTCTAATTGATTTTATATGAATGTGGTTTTGGTTATTGAAAAAAAAATAATAAAGGCGGGACCCACTATCATACAGGCTTGAGTTGATGTGCGGCTGTGATCGGAGAGCACACACAGCTCTCCGTACCAATAATTTTTCTATAGCTGTCACTTAGACAGACATGAATAGGAAAAAAATAAATTAAAAATAAAAAATATGTGTGCTTTGTTTGTCTTTATATGCTTTTTTATTCTCATTCTCTACATGCTATTTTGAGGCCAACAAAGCGACAAAAATGCACAAAAATTGCAGATCCACCCCTATTTAATTCACTAATTGCATGTTGTTATTGACCTGAGAGACTGAGAAATAATTTTTTATTACTTCATTGGAAAATTTAGGATGTCTTTTATTTATTTAATATAATAATTGTTTATTTTCCTTTGCGCACATTTCTAATGTATTTACACATATAGCATTTACATTTTTAAAAATAGCATTATTATCTCTTTTAAAAAGTGAAATCATTTTTTTTATGTTTAAATTTAAAGTACTAAGATGCTATTTATAAAAATATGAAAGTTTAAGGGTAAGATATGTAATTACCTAAGAATTATGTGCTGGGTATTTACATTTATCTTTATATTTTTGTTCTGTCATGCCAGCACGTCTTCAGGAATGTTCAGACTTGGGGGAACTCTTGTATGGCTATTTTATGTGATTCCCCATTATGCCCCTATAAATATATTTATTTATCCGGTCCCAAGCCCGGATGCGAAAAGTGGAGGGTTGCGTTAGGTAGTCGACAGCCAGCGTAAAACTTGTCGAAAAAAAATCATGATATGGATTCTTTTGATCATTGTGTTATACATGGAATGTAATTTTAGTAGTAATAGCTCTAGCGACAGAAGTGTGACTTTGGGCGATGAAATTATTAAAAGGTGTGAACGTTCTAGATATCTTGGGTCCGTTGTTCAAAGCGATGGTGATATAGATGGGGATGTTAATAGTAGAATTCAAGTTGGTTGGTTGAAGTGGAGGAATGCTTTGGGCCTTTTGTGTGATAGAAAAGTACCGCTTAGACTGAAAGGAAAATTTTATAAGACGATGGTGGGACATGCAATGCTCTATGACGCTGAATGCTGGCCTTTAAAAGAGAAGCATAATAATAAGTTAAGTGTTGTTGAGATGAGATTGATTAGGTGGATGAGTGACTTTACACTTGGAGACAAAATGCGAAATGAATATATTCGTGATAGGGTTGGTGTAGCTCATGTGACGGACAAAATTAGAGAAAGTCGTCTTAGATGGTTTGGTCACATTAAACGTCGACCATCTGATGATTTGATTAGCAGAGTTGATGTTTTAGATTCGACTTGTGTTAAGAAAGACAAAGGTAGACCTAGGAAGACTTGAGCTTACTGTATTAAAAATGATCTTAACTTACTAGAACTAAATGAAAGTATGACACTAAATAGGATGCAATGGAGAAAAAAGATTCATGTAGCCGACCCCACATAGTGGGATTAAGGCTTTGTTGTTGTTGTTGTTGCAATACTTTAGTATGTCTAAATTGAGGCATTTATTTTTGCATCTATCACCAAAATTTTATTTTTTGTATTTCTATCATCCAAATCTTCTATATCATATAAAAAATATCAGTATTTTATATTTGTATATGAAGATACAATGCGATGGAATGATTATTTAGTGTTTTTGCGTTGCACAAAAGTCAACATACATTTAGATAATAAAGGTGACAGGTAGAGACACCAAAGATTTTTATGTGGAAAACATGCAATTAAGAAAACCACGGGGTCTAACCCAGTCATGAATAATCTATTATAGTTTGATGAGTCCCACGTGCAAGAAAGAGTCAGACAGTTGCAATGTGCATATGCAGGACGACTCGTTGCATAGTAGTTGAGAGTGTTGTTGCAGTTGTTGGAACATAGGTACACCATTTTTTGGGTGTGATACTCTGCATGGTGCGTCGTTACATCATCTATGGAGTGCTTTGCGCGGAGTTCAGGATGATGCACCGCTACGTAGAATGTTTTGTTGCTCCACGACGTTGTTGCTACTCCACAACATTGGTCGCTACTTCGCAACATTAGTCACTACCCCGCAACGTTGGTCGCTACTTAGCAAAATGCTTCGTCACTCCGCAATATTGGTCATTACTTCGCAAAACGCTTCGTTAGTCCGTAGTTTTAGTCCTTGTTCAACAAGGTGCTTGGTTGCAATGAGCAAGGTCGACCGACGACCTAAGAGCGGTGGCAGGAGCAAGAAGTGTTCATCGGATCTTTAGTGCAAAACATTGGACTTCATTTTCTTCTCTTCTCGATCTTCCTCTAAGCTTACGTCTTCCTCCCTTTCATGAATGGGGTAGAACTCTATTTATAGTCTAGAAGATGCCTATCGACAAACATGGAAGGATCTGGTTCATTTCGTCAGACGACCCAGAGAAGTTCGTTCAATTGAACGACATTTTGTAAACATTTGATGCTATTATGATGACAAAATTGAGCGATATAGAGCGCGTTAGATTTTTCTCGTCGTGATGCTTGAGTCGATTATAAGCTTGTCATATTTTGAACCCATTTAGCATTTCACCTGAAGCCATTATGATACTATGTCTATTTTACTATGATTGGTACATGAAAAACACCGCTAATTATTAGTCAAATCACCTAACTTATATATTATATGTATAGTGATAGTTGTGCTTGATTATATGCATTTTATATACTGCTACTGTGGTGATTTGATATCATATTGTGGATACATATATTACAGTATACATATGCATGTTCAGTGACCTAAAGACTTACTTGACCTACTTACCTCTTGTTTAGCATATATGACAAGATTATGATGTAATCATGCATATTGTTATATTTTCGTGCACTTATTTCAGTTGTAGGTTTTGTGTAACATACTGAGCTATTCACTTACTCTGGTTGTTTTTACATATTTTCAGGGAAGGGTAATGATCAATTGGAGTGAGCTACTAGTGCTTCCTAATAGATGTATGTTCTATATATGTATTTTGTAATCATGATAAATCTGTATGTCTTGTTGGGATTATTAGAAAATCATGATCAATATATATAAAGGTTTTAGATGTAAATAGTTTTGATGTACATAAGGAAAATGAAATGATATTGATCTTTGTTTTTTATGCTATTATCAGTGTTTTAGTGGCTCCGTGTAATGAGAAATAGAAGATAAAAAGAGATTTCTTCTAAATAGATCTTGGGCAAAATATTATGTTGTGCTCTTGACTTGGTATAATCTATTATTGTATGTGGGTTATTGATGTGTGAAAAGATTGTATAAATTTTTTTTATGTTTTGCACATCTTTTTAAATGAAATTACACTTTAAAGAAAGTTATTTTTATGTTTTATTGCAGGTATAATAGACATTAGGAATGAAACGAAGTGGAAGGAACATAAGCGAAAATGAGAATATTTGGAAAAAAAAATACATTTTCTGATGGCTCGGGCCATGGTGCCAATAGCTGTGCGCCTAGGTGCCAGTCAACTGAAGGATGAAACCATGACACCATATCAGAGTGGCACCTAGGCGCCCGACACCCAAGAGAAACCCGAGAGGTTGACGCCTTAGCGCCAACCACTGGCGCCATGGAGCTAATCCTGAAGGCCAAGGCTATGACACTAAAATGGAGCAGCGTCTAGGCGCCAGTATTTGCATCAGGTATCTTGATGCAATAATTCTCCCTCTTCGGAGGAGTTTGGGCAGTTTTTAGAGCAGCTTTTAGAGGAGAATAGGGAGGAATATTAGGAGGACTCTGAAGTTCGTGAAAAATGGAGGGAGGGGTCAGAAGTTCAGTGGGTGATTTGGGAGTGTCTTCCTAGGGTTAGAGAATATTTTCATCTCCTGTGTTTGTAAGATTCTAAGCTTGTTCTCTATAAGTCTAGAGGTATGAGTTGTGTTGATTTGTTATTGTCGTTATGTAAGGAGTTGCAGGAGAAGAGCAAGGACTTGGGTGGAGCATTCTCAAGGTCAATTGAGGGAGAGAGATAAGTATATTTGTTGTTTGGAATTGTTGTTTTCTTAAACACATTTGTATGTTGGATCTCTCTATTCCAATGCAATTTGGTATTATTTTATCCATGCTTTCTGAGTAATTCTCCTTGTTTTTCCTTGTAGTGATGTAGTAGATGTGTAAGAATGTGGATAGCTTGTTGAAATAGTTTTAATTCTTTATCTGTGTATATTTTATTTTTGCACTTAGTTTACTTTTCAATCTGGTCAATCAATCTGTTAAATTATGTTGTTAACCCGTGTGGACTTAGAAGAGTTATGACATGAACAATTAGGAAAATCATGTTGAACTATAGGGTATGAATCAAAGTACACTATAGGGAGATGCAAATGTTTGGGAGATAAGTTTAAATTGGGAAAACTTGGAGGTTTCTAGGTGACAATCTAGAACCATTGCTAAGTTAAACCAAACTTTTTTACGTGCTTGGAAGATGGTAAACAAGATTTATGCTCCTATTTGTAACAAACTCTACTTTATTTCAAATTCCTTCCACATCCACATTATACTTTTATCACGACAAAAAAAAGTAACTTTAAAATTTGGAAAAACCAATTCACATAGAATAGTTAGAATTTTTGTAGGAGCAATTTTAGATTATTATAGTAGGATTGATATCATAACTCAAGTATTT